TCGCCTCCTTCACGGTCGTCTCCTTCACGGTCGCCTCCTTCACGGTTGCCTCCTTCACGGTCGCCTCCTTCACGGTCGCCTCCTTCACGGTCGCCTCCTTCACGGTCGCCTCCTTCACGGTTGCCTCCTTCACGGTCGCCTCCTTCACGGTCGCCTCCTTCACGGTCGCCTCCTTCACGGTCGCCTCCTTCACGGTCGCCTCCTTCACGGTCGCCTCCTTCACGGTCGCCTCCTTCACGGTCGCCTCCTTCACGGTCGCCTCCTTCACGGTCGCCTCCTTCACGGTCGCCTCCTTCACGGTCGCCTCCTTCACGGTCGCCTCCTTCACGGTCGCCTCCTTCACGGTCGCCTGGACTCCCTGGATTACATCACCTGTGCCTCCTAAACTTCACAGTCTCACTACCCATTGCTCCTCTTGGTCACTCAAAACGTTTTTTTTTTCTACGATTGTCCCTTTTCTTTTTATTTATTCAAATTTTCATGTCATGCTTATCTTTTTACCCCCTTGTTCTCCTTTTGGTCTCTCCTATTCTCTCTCCCCCTCACAGTCTCCTCTGGTCTCTCACTCCTGTTACTTCCGCACTGTATCTTATCTGTAATTTATATATTTTAATATATAAATGACACACATATTTATATATTTTAATATATAAATGACACACACACACACACACATATTATATATATATATATATATATATATATATATATATATATATATATATATATATATATATATATATATATACATATATATATATATATATATATATATATATATATATATATATATATATATATATATATATATATATATATAATGCCGTTTATATATTTTCTACCATCTTTGTCCCCATTTCAGCCTACAAATTCCCTCTCACCCCATCTCAGGCTCCCCCTTCGCCCTCCTCCCCCCATCCCCCCCTATGCCCTCTCTGCCTACTATCTCACCTCTCTCCATCAGCGCCTGCACCAACCATTAAGAGGTGATAAAGGTTATTAAATTCCTTTCTGAACTCATCAGAGATGAGTTAACGTGGAGAAGCGGGCCTAGTGCATTGTTAGCGGTGGGTAACTCGAGTGCCTTACGTCGAAGTGCATTGTCACGGTGCTTTCTTAAGTGCGTTAGAGAAGTGTGTTATATATGTTTCACCGGAGTGCGATACGTATGTGAGGTATCGGAGTGTCTTTCAGAGGTGTGTTGGAGAAGTGTATTACGGTAAGTTCATGTCAGCAGTTTGTTATTGAAAAATATGATCCTGCGTTCATTGAGGATATTCGCAATGGTGCGTTATTGGAGTGTGTGTTGAAGTGTGTCCCGTCTAGAGTGCGTCACTAGAGTGAGTGACTGGAGTGGGATGCTAGACGGCGTGCTGGAGTGTGTTACTCGAGGCTCGAGTGTTTTTCTAAAGTGCGTGATTGAAATGAATGTTACTAGCGTGAGTGCTTGTGTGAGTTGTGTGACTGGAGTGCCTTGGGCGTGAAGGTCACTGAGTTCATGTATAATATGAGAGTTGCATTTGAGTCATCCGTGTGTCACCCATATCATCAGTATGTCATCCGTGTGTCACCCATATGTGTCACCCACATCATCAGTGTGTCATCATTGTAATACACCTGTGTCATCATTGTAATACACCTGTGTCATCAGTGTCATAAGTGGCTAATTAGTCAGCGGTGTCACAAGTGCGACATGTAATTACACAACAAGTCACTTCAACTGGCGAGTGCGTTCTCTGAGTGCATAATAAGCTGGCTGATGAGAACCAGTTGTATGTTTCACTCGAGTTGTTTAAAATGCGTCACCTCTACCTCGAGGGCCTCAATAAACCTAACAGCTTCCAGTTCCTCGACTATGGGGAGAGTGAATAATTCGAGGGCCATGTTTCGAGGGCCATGTCTCGAGGGCCATGTCTCGAGGGCCATGTCTCGAAGGCCATGTCTTGAGGGCCATGTCTCGAAGGCCATGTCTTGAGAGCCTGAACCAGACAACGATACAGCCCACACCCCCCCTCCTGGGAGTACTTCATGCGAACGGTCTAACAACACGGTCTAACAACACGGTCTAACAACACGGTCTAACAACACGGTTTAACAACACGGTCTAACAACACGGTCTAACAACACGGTCTAACAACACGGTCTAACAACACGGTCTAACAACGCGGTCTAACAACACGGTCTAACAACACGGTCTAACTACACGGTCTAACAACGCGGTCTAACAACACGGTCTAACAACACGGTCTAACAACACGGTCTAACAACACGGTCTAACAACACGGTCTAACAACGCGGTCTAACAACACGGTCTAACAACGCGGTCTAACAACGCGGTCTAACAACACGGTCTAACAACACGATCTAACAACGCGGTCTAACAACGCGGTCTAACAACGCGGTCTAACAACACGGTCTAACAACACGGTCTAACAACACGGTTTAACAACGCGGTCTAACAACACGGTCTAACAACACGGTCTAACAACACGGTCTAACAACACGGTCTAACAAGAGGCACTTGAACAAATAGAAAATAGAATTTGATACCATTCATTTCATAGAACCCGTGAAAACATAAGGCTAAAAGCCAGGCTTAAATATTCCTAGGCTTAGTATAGTACATATATGTACTATATAAAGACTCAGCGTGTATTAGGCCTGGGTGAAGTTCCATTTGCAACATCAATAGAAAAATTATTTCACTTTGTTCCAATTCAGTAATACAAATGTCTGTTGTTTATTGGTGCTTCGGCTCCATATTTGTACGATCGACCACTTCGTTATTATAAATTCAGTCCATTAGACAACCGCCAGTTAGAATGGCGGGGCCCAAGAGCTAGCAGCTCGATCCTGCAGGCACAAATAGTAAATACACACACACACACACACACACACACACACACACACACACACACACAACAAGCCACACACGCCTCCCACTCTCCATAGTGTATAACAAATCACTGGCAACAGGGGGAACTGCCAGATATTTGGAAAGCAGCTAACGTAGTCCCAAAATACAAGAAAGGGGATAGACAGGAGGCACTGAACTACAGGCCAGTGTCCCTAACCTGCATACCATGCAAGCTGATGGAGAAGATTGTGCGAAGAAAACTAGTGGAGCATCTGGAGCGAAAGAACTTTGAAACACAGCATCAACATGGATTCAGGGATGGCAGGTCCTGCCTCACAGGGTTACTTGAATTCTACGACCAGGCAACAAAAATAAGGCAAGAAAGAGAAGGGTGGGCAGACTGCATATTTTTGGATTGTCAGAAAGCCTTTGACACAGTGCCACACAAGAGGCTAGTGAAAAAACTGGAGATGCAGGCTGGAGTGAAAGGGAAGGTACTCCGTTGGATACAGGAGTACCTAAGTAACAGGAGACAACGATTCAGTGTGAGGGGTGAGGTCTCAGATTGGCGAGACGTTACGAGTGGAGTACCGCAGGGGTCAGTCCTTGGACCTATACTGTTTCTGATATATGTAAATGATCTTCCAGAGGGTATAGAATCGTTTCTCTCAATGTTTGCCGATGATGCAAAAATTATGAGGAGGATTGAAACTGAGGACGATAGTAGGAGGCTACAAGATGACCTAGACAGACTGAGTGAATGGTCCAACAAATGGCTGTTGAAGTTCAACCCGAGTAAATGCAAAGTAATGAAACTAGGTGGTGGAAATAGGAGGCCAAACACAGGATACAGAACAGGAGATGAAGTACTTAATGAAACGAACAGAGAGAAAGATCTAGGAGTTGATATCACACCAAACCTGTCTCCTGAAGCCCACATAAAAAGAATAACGTCTGCGGCATATGCGAGGCTGGCTAACATCAGAACAGCGTTCAGGAACCTGTGTAAGGAATCATTCAGAATCTTGTACACCACATATGTAAGACCAATCCTGGAGTATGCGGCCCCAGCATGGAGCCCGTACCTTGTCAAGCACAAGACGAAGCTGGAAAAAGTCCAAAGGTATGCCACTAGACTAGTCCCAGAACTAAGAGGCATGAGTTACGAGGAAAGGCTGCGGGAAATGCACCTTACGACACTGGAAGACAGAAGAGTAAGGGGAGACATGATCACAACCTACAAAATCCTCAGAGGAATCGACCGGGTAAACAAGGATAAACTATTCAACACTGGTGGGACGCGAACAAGGGGACACAGGTGGAAACTGAGTACTCACATGAGCCACAGAGACGTTAGAAGGAACTTTTTTAGTGTCAGAGTAGTTAACGGATGGAATGCATTAGGCAGTGATGTGGTGGAGGCTGACTCCATACACAGTTTTAAATGTAGATATGATAGAGCCCAGTAGGCTCAGGAATCTGTACACCAGTTGATTGACAGTTGAGAGGCGGGACCAAAGAGCCAAAGCTCAACCCCCGCAAGCACAAATAGGTGAGTACACACACACACAGAACTAAGAGGCATGAGTTACGAGGAAAGTCTGCGGGAAATGCACCTTACGACACTGGAAGACAGAAGAGTAAGGGGAGACATGATCACAACCTACAAAATCCTCAGAGGAATCGACCGGGTAAACAAGGGTAAACTATTCAACACTGGTGGGACGCGAACAAGGGGACACAGGTGGAAACTGAGTACCCACATGAGCCACAGAGACGTTAGAAAGAATTTTTTCAGTGTCGGAGCAGTTAGTAAATTTAATGCATTAGGCAGTGATGTGGTGGAGGCTGACTCCATACACAGTTTCAAATGTAGATATGATAGAGCCCAGTAGGCTCAGGAATCTGTACACCAGTTGATTGACGGTTGAGAGGCGGGACCAAAGAGACAAAGCTCAACCTCCGCAAGCACAAATAGGTGAGCACACACACACACACATACACACACGCACACACACACACACACACACACACACACACACACACACACACACACACACACACACACACACACACACACACACACACACACACATCCAAGGCAATTACCATGCATCTGACCTCTTGACTCCCGCCCTGACAGCGTGGTAATGGTGCTGACGCTTGCGGGGCGACTAGTGACGTGGGCGGCAGTGCTGCACGCCCACACCACCCACCTCAACCACGCCCACGCCCGCACCTTCAATCTGGGCTACCTCACGGGGTCCGAGAGGCTGCCTGAAGACTTGGAGTACAAGCGACCCGGACTCATCATCTCCGGGTCCATCACCCTGGCTGTGGAGGAGGTGAGTCAGCCAGCAGTAAGTTAACTCATGTGTTACTCGAGACGCTTACTCATCCTCTCCGAGTTCATCGCGAGGTGAGTCGTCCTCGATACTGTCTAGAGTAGATCCAGCCTCTTTAGCCTCTATATACTTTAATTGTCAAAGTTTTAGTACGAGCTACATTGTTTCTTACCTATATTTTTATTATAATTATTTATATATATTTATTTATTATATATATTTATATATTTATTATATTATTATATTTATATTATATTTATATATTTATTATATTATTATATTTATATTATATTTATATATTTATATTATATTTATATATTTATTATATTATATTACATTTATATATTTATTATATTATATTATATTTATATATTTATTATATATATTGATTTATATTATAAATGTGATTGTATATTAGGAAGTTGCACCTAGAAGAGGTGTTACGTGTGTCGTGTAGAGTGCTCTAGAGGCACCCTTCCTTACACTGATATATATACTACTCTTACCTATTTACGCTACACATGTTCTGGCGATATTATATATGTCTCTGGATGCAAGGCTTGGGATTAGGTAAGTCGCAGGTGCTTCTTTTTCCCTGTTTCAGGGAGTGTTTTCCCTTTTATTTCGACTTACTTAATAGGTCTTATTGCTCTAGTCCCAATTTTTGCATTTATCTGGGTTGAAATCTAGTAACCACCAGTTTGACAGTTCCTGAAACATATCCATTCCATTATCAATTTGATATTTTTTTTTGCTATTAACATGAACTTCTCGTTTTAATAACTTTTAACTGTTAGCAAACATTTATTTAAATGCACCAACTTCCTCACTTAAGTAATTTACGTATATCAGTAATTTCGTAGACAATAGCAAACCTCTGTTTGCTACTGGGAGCGAACTCTTTAATCCAGTTTTGCTCTCCATCGTTCACCCAAGCCTATGTTTGAATCTTTTATTAAACACAAGCCTTGTGTATGTAATTATATCAACTGCTTTACAACAATTAAGGAAGCCACAGTTCAGCTTTTCTTTCCTGCTTAAAATCGTTGTCTTGTCATAAATCTCCAGTTATTTTGTGAAGCAGATCTTGCCTTCCTTGAAGCCGTTTTGGTGTTTTGGACCCAAGAACCTTTCACACAAGAGATGCTATACCAATGTTAATACTTTTCAAGACGCTAGTGCTCTCTTAGCTAGTGCCCTCTTAAAGTGAAATACTGTTACATAATGAGAGCACCTTTCCAAGCTGGAGAAATTGCTGACCTGGAGAGCGTGCAGAGATCCTTTACTGCTAGAATCCACTCTAAACTAAACATCTAAACTATTGGGACCGACTGAAGAGCCTAAATTGGTATTCAATAGAGCTCAAACGGGAGAGATACATAATATTTTACTTGTGGAAAATAGTAGAGGAGCTGGTCCCAAACCTGCACATAGATATAACACCACATGAGACCGGAAGGCATGGCAGGATGTGCAGAATACCCCCGTTTAAAAGCAGAGGTGCACTAGGTACTCTGAGAGAGAACTCTGTCAACACCAGAGGCCCGAGACCGTTCAACACACTTCCGTTACACATAAGGGACATAACTGGCAGACCCCTCACAGTGTTCAAGAGATAACTTGATAAACACCTCCAAACGATACCTGATCAATTAGGCTGTGATTCATACATCAGGTTGCGAGCAGCCGCGTACTTTAACAGCCGTTTTGACCAGTTCAGCATGAGGCCTAATCGGGGACAGGGCCGCGAGGACATTGATCCCCGAAATCATCGCAAGGTAACCACAAGGTTACCTTGCGGTTTCGGCCTGAGTTCTCAGGTTTCGGCCTGAGAACTTTGTACTCGCTGATGCTATCATATCTGGGTTGATATCATCTGTTTACCCCGTTATCTCGTGTACGACATTAAAGACCCTCAGTATTAGTGTTTTTGAGAGTCGTGGGGTGCAGTGATCACCAACGTCACTTCACAACCAAAGGATGTACGGTTTATTTGCTTTAACAAGACAGGAACGGTTCCCGTCTTGTTCACGCGACAGTAAACAGGACCAGAGGAGTAAACAGGACCCGCGGAGTAAACAGGACCAGTGGAGTAAACAGGACCAGTGGAGTAATCATTTTTATTTTGATATGAAAGTTTATGGTAGGACGAGGCTGGGACGAGAGATGGTTGATAGGTTCAGAAGAGAAATTGTTGGAAAACATGCACTGAACTGGTAGACGTGAGGGGAGAGAAGGTTGGGGCAGCTGCCTGTGAAGCAGTGTTTTGTGGAGAGAGGAGAGAGCAGGGAGAAAGGGAGAGTGTAATAGGATGTGAGAGACATATAGACTGAGTTAGTTGACAATTGATGTATAAAAGGGTTTATATTACATAAGCGTAATTTACATAAGACCCGGGCCCTTAGGACTACGACCCCTGAGTGCTGTCCACTCAGCCGCGAGGCCCCCGCGACAGATGTGTGTGTGTGTGTGTGTGTGTGTGTGTGTGTGTGTGTGTGTGTGTGTGTGTGTGTGTGTGTGTGTGTGTGTGTGTGTACTCATCTATTTGTACTCACCTATTTGTGCTTGCGGGGGTTGAGGTTTGGCTCTTTGGTCCCGCCTCTCAACTGTCAATCAACTGGTGTACAGATTCCTGAGCCTACTGGGCTCTGTCATATCTACATTTGAAACTGTGTATGGAGTCAGCCTCCACCACATCACTGCCTAATGCATTCCATACATTAACTACTCTGACACTGAAAAAGTTCCTTCTAACGTCCCTGTGGCTCATGTGGGTACTCATTTTCCACCTATGTCCCCTTGTTCGCGTCCCACCAGTGTTTAATAGTTATCCTTCTTTACCCGGTCGATTCCCCTGAGGATTTTGTAGGTTGTGATCATGTCTCCCCTTACTCTTCTGTCTTCCACAGACGAAGACAGAAGAGTAAGGGGAGACATGATGTGTGTGTGTGTGTGTATTCACCTAGTTGTATTCACCTAGTTGTGCTTGTGGGGGTTGAGTTCTACTCTTTCGGCCCACCTCTCAACTGTTTACTAACTACATTTTTTTTCACACCACACACACACACACATCCCCAGGAAGCAGCCCGTGACAGCTGACTAATTCCCAGGTACCTATTTACTGCTAGGTAACAGGGGCATTCAGGGTGAAAGAAACTGTGCCCATTTGTTTCTACCTGGTGCGGGAATCGAACCCGCGCCACAGAATTACGAGTCCTGCACGCTATCCACCAGGCTACCAGGCCCCTGTGTGTGTGTGTGTGTGTGTGTATGTGTACTCACATAGTTTGTGCTTGCGGGGGTTGAACTCTGGCTCTTTGGTCCCGCCTCTCAACTGTGTGTGTGTGTGTGTGTAATTAGCTAAGTGTAATTACCTAAGTGTAGTTAAAGGATGAGAGCTACGCTCGTGGTGTTCCGTCTTCCCAACACTCTTTGTCATATAACGCTTTGAAACTACTGACGGTCTTGGCCTCCACCACCTTCTCACCTAACTTGTTCCAACCGTCTACCACTCTGTTTGCGAAAGTGAATTTTCTTATATTTCTTCGGCATCTGTGTTTAGCTAGTTTAAATCTATGACCTCTTGTTCTTAAAGTTCCAGGTCTCAGGAAATCTTCCCTATCGATTTTATCAATTTCTGTTACTATTTTGTATGTAGTGATCATATCACCTCTTTTTCTTCTGTCTTCTAGTTTTGGCATCACACCACTAGTTTTGGTGTGTTTGTGTGTGAGTGGGTTCAGTTGTGTGTATATCCCTGCTACAGTTGAAATTGAAATTGAAATAAGTTTATTGAGGTAAAATACACACAAAGGGATGAGGTAGCTCAAGCTATTCTCACCCCATTCAGTACAACGTGTTAGTACATACATAGACACACATCACAAATAAACATATTACCAAACATTCTGAGAGGTAAACATATACATTTCCTCCTTCACAAGTAGCATAGTATCAGACGTACACACAAATACTTTTATGACCCAGGTATACTACAGTTTGACTGGTGTAGTCTCATACAGCCATTAGACACAGGCGTGGGGGCCCATAAACCTTAACTCCTGAGATCCTTCAGAAGTGAGATACGTAAAGTTGGAACCAAGTTCGATCATCGCTTTTCCCGTTCTTCACGGGAAGAACGGTAGAAACATTAGCCGTTCCTTGAGGGAACCGCTACAACCTGTCCTCTCTGTTTCATCATAGTGAACAAACTTGTTTAAGTTGCCCGAAAATGAGTGTCGTATGGTGGAGTACTAGGGGGGGGGGGGGGGGGGGGGGGGGGGGGGGGGGGGGGGGACGGATGGAAATTCTATGAACAAAATTAACTCTAAATACTAATTTATTTTAATGGTTAAAAAAATATGAATAAAGTGACATATTGAATTAGTTATCAAGAATACTGCAAATTTAGATATATTAATAGAAACGCATTTTTGTGGACTGTGGAGAAACTATAGTTGTTTAAATGTAGCGAAAATACTATAAAATAATATTATAATATAATAGTATAATAAAATAATATACAATATATATTATAATATATTTAATAATTAATAATAAAATAATATTATAATAAAATATATAATACTATAAAAAATATTATAATAGAAAATAATAGTTGACATCTATTAAAAAGAAGTATTAAGGAGCAGAGAATCAGTCACCATAACGGGGGTTGGAGACCAATGACCGATCCCCAAACATGTCAAACAACAGGCAACACACGAAGTGTTTTGGCAAGATTTCCGCTTAAAATTGTTTAAAAAAAATTATAAAGGTTTTAATGTATAAAATATAAATGTAGCGTTTCAAAGAAAATAATTGCTACGCTAAGACAGCGAATTTAGGATGTAAATGAAGGTACAATTGTAAACATTGTCAGGATAGCACTAGTTTTATTTCTTTCTGAAAGCACAAAAAACGTATGATTAAATCGTGTTCTGCTCTGTGAGGTTTAACTATGCTTGTGTCAGGCTCTGCGGACGACCATCTAAGCAGAC